GTATCAGGTAGTCGTAATATGTGGAACATCAGCTTTTGGCAACAAAACATACGTACTCGTTATGAAAAATATTGTCTGAAGTGCTTCTTCTATGCAGAGTGTCCTTATTTTCACAATAATTAACTTTGCAATCTGTTCTTCGTCCAATGCTATTGTCAATCTCGGAGTAAATAATATTGTTCTTCTTAATTTATTTTTGCGCTAGATTGTTTGGCGTTTGATTCTCTATGAAGAAACGCAATGTAGGATATTATTGCTTTATTATAGATAAAAATCTAATATAATACATATAATTGAAAACACAATATTAGCGAATGTTGAATATTAGTTGAAATACTGTCGAAAGTTAAAAATTTAAAAGATTGAAAATGAATATCATAGAATTGACTGAAAATGATAAGCTTTCTCTGTTGCAGATTTGGCGAAGGAAAGAAAGAAAATGAACCAGCATTTAATTTCAGTTGTGATAGGTTATGAACATGAATTTACGGTAACTAACGAGTAATTCGCAAAAATTAGACATAGGCGAAAATGGATAAAGGATGTACAACAATGACTGGTCTTATCAAGGAAAAGATGATTCAGGTATTCTCATTATAATCGCTTGTCAATTTAAATGTCTCCATATTTGAGGAGAGCAATTTTCATTATGTATCCAGATTTTTGGGAAATTTCAAGCTGGAAATTTGATGAGCACAAGATATCGTTCAACAATAGATTTTTTATAGGAATTGTGTGACTAATACAAGGAACAATATGAAAGAATCTGCTATCGTTAAATTAAGTATATCTAATTAGTACTGAAACAAACAGAAACGAATGATCTTGAATTATATATGTTCAAGATTTGAAGTGGCCACCTGGTAATTACCGCGACGCTTTATATGAACCAGATGCGATCCTCGGGCAGAACGACCGTCAAGGGTCTGTGCTACCCTAGTGCGGACCCATCATAAACAGTGGGCCTATTGTACAGTCAAGCTACTTTAGGACCCCACGGAAAAAATTCATAAGGCACGAAACTTCTTTATTTTATGGTACATCTCAGAAAGACCGGACATGCGGTTTTCCCCAAGCGTAAGGTCACCTGCGCGGGAATCTTCATGAAGACAACCAGTCCATCCTCAAACATATGTCTTTACCCAATGATCAGTCAGGAACAGACTTGAGACACACCCACCACGAACTTTCCTCTACGACAGCAACATCCCCAAGAGACACTCCTGCAGCAGTATTCTAAGAGTCAAGATATAACAGTATTCTGTCAGTGACCATTATATTTAACAGGACAGCCAGTGAACTAAAGACAGTTGTATTCAGAGTATTGAATGGAATAAATAAGGTGAAGTAATCCACGCTCTGTACATTTATTATAATCCTCCACCTTGGACGCGAATAACGTACAAGGCTCGCGATACCAACCGATCAGTTGTGCCTGACTGTTCGCTAGTTAGTTGAGTGTCGTAACAATATACAGAGGCGAGACAATATATCATAGAAAAAATGCTGCATATTATGATAGTATAACTTCCATCTATCTAAGTTATAAAACGTCAAGTGAATTGTAGCCATGCATGTGGTGTTATTTCAATTTAAAAAAAAATATGAAATATGCTACATTTTAATAATTTCAATAAATGGAATTATGTTGAAATGTGTGTATGGTATTACATAAAGATTGACGATTCTAAATTCATAAACCTTTTCGACCATTCCGAAAAGGCAAAGAAATATTCGATTACTCTCGATGGATGATCGCACAGAAAAATCAAACATAACTACGATTTTTGGTTGTAGATCAAAATTACAGAGAAAGAAAATCATAAGTCACATTTCCTACGATTTACAGGAAACGAATTCTAACATTACCAAAATTGTGTCTGTCTTCGACTGCGGAATTATGCGTGTACTTTTATCCAGTTCAAACATTGAAAAACAGTGCTCGTCACAATATTCCAGTATCACAGAGATATTAAAACATTGCTTGCCTTAATAATTAAACCAATTATTTGTTCGCAATTACATCTTCTGTGTACTAATAACGCAATGTACAACATTAATATGATGTTTTAAGTAAAACCAAATATTATGTTTATCATAAAAACACACGAGATTGAAAATATAAAGCAAATTCTATTCCACTTCAGAATTTCCAGAAGAATGAAACATACCACCAGTGACGAATGTAACTTATTTATTATTAAATAATACTTTGTATCAGTACTACCAACAACTATCGTAAAGTCAATGATGCTGAAGAAATTCTACTGAAGAGAGTATATCATAGTAAAGTATGAGACGGACGTACTCAGCATCTGAAATGCAATAACATTTGAATAACAGATATCAGACACAGATTAAACAGTAATAGACTGAGAAAATTACCTTCGAAAAACCGATATGAGAAAGAACGAAAAATCCGGAGAGGTTTATCACACTTTCCGTTGAACTCCTCAACATGATAAAGAGTAACAACTCCTGTGCTTCTACGGGCATGCAATACCACGTAGAATTGTACCTGCATATTGTTGTATCTCTTAACATACACTAGTA